AGAAATGGAACAAGCACATGTCATTGTATTGCACGTTGTCAGGATTACCTCCTAAACTTACCAATCAAGAATCAACATGCATTTCAATTCCACCTCAAATACGGCATCAGCATTGGAATTAGGAGAGTATTTAATAGACAAGATCAAGTGAGTTTACGTTTGATTACATTTGTTGAGATGGATAGATAAATGATAACAAATCGACATCTTAGTGAATCAAACACCAAAGGCTTTGAGGCGTATGATGCCAGTTCGGACTCAAAAGTGCTAGTCATGCTGGTGGTACTATGCCATCTGGGAGATTCCCCGATGCATGCTGAAATATCTAATACAGTAAACCCAACAATAACTTTAAGCCCTTGTCGAGTGTGCAATCTTCAAGTCGATGAAATGGAAGATAAAAAATCTAAAGAATTCCTTGAAGGTTTTTTGGGTGTGGATCATCATGGTAATACTGTAAGTTCATAGTGTCTAAATCATGTAAGGAGATAGTTGGATAGAATGTGTGCTGACAAAAAAAACATGAATCAAAAGTCTCACCGTCTTGCACGCAATTGGCATGAAACTGCGGAAAGAACAAAGGAACTATGGAGGTTGGTTTACAAGTTTGGACAGAAATCTTGAATCAAACAGCTTGCAAAGGAATGGGGAATACGGGATAGCTTAAATGCTGAGTTTATCAAAAGGATAGGTGAAATGCATTCTGCAGATTCATCTCTTGAAGAAATCTATGAAGTTTGGTTGAAACTAGGGGAGGAAATGGGTGACAGATTATTTAACCCCTTTCTAAGATTGGATGGTGCGTATTGATCTGACCATAACATTTTGAATCAATAGCTATTCTTGTAGTTCATTGAGAAAGTGTTATTGAATTTATATAAAAACAGGTTTTGACGGTCATTCGGACACCCCAGTTGAGACTCTTCATGTTATACTCCTGGGTATCTTGAAATACTTCAACCGTGAAGCTATGGACGAGATACCAAAATCTGAACACGAGAAGATCCGGGGAAGATGGCAATCTTTTGATTGTAATGGACTCAGTGTTCCCCCTATTCAGCCTAACACGATGATCACATATTACAAGAGCTTAGTTGGTAAGGAATTACGGGCGGTGGTCCAAGCCGCTCCATTTGTTTTATTTGAATTTCTTACTCCAGAGAAGCGGAGGCTCTGGACTTTGCTCTGTCATCTTTGTTCATATGCACTACAGACTAAGACTACAAACACACACAAGTATGAAGAGAACCTTTCAAAGATTGTCAGCCGGTTTTTATTGGAATTGATATCAAGCAATGCTCGATGGTCAAACAAGCCAAAATTTCATATGCTCCTACACCTTGTTGAATCAATTCGCCGATTTGGTCCTTCAAGTCTTTGTGCAACCGAGAAATTTGAAAGCTTCAATGGTGCAGTTCGAATGGCTTCAGTTCATTCAAACCGACAAAGTCCAAGCAGAGACATTGCTATCACATTCAACAACTTGAGGCTATTACGATTGATACTATCAGGTTCAAGATTCAAGGATAGAAGATACAACTCGATGAGGAGAGCTGGATCTGAGGTATTAAAGGTTTTTGAACAAAACCGAGTCATTCAGCAGATGCTTGGCTGGGATCAAGACTGGGATAAAGTACCCGAATTGACTGCACATTGTAAGCTTCATGGAAAAATCTCAATTTTGAAATGGAAATGTGTTCATTTGTTGATAAACTTGATCTCACATTTATTGAAAGTCAACAAATCAAATTCATCAGTAACAGTACCGGATGTTCTAAAAAATTTGAGCAATCAAGTTGAATGGGCAACAATTAATCACATCAACTTATCAAATGAACAGAAAGTCAAGATTGGATGTTTTGTAGCAGTAAGTTCACAGATTGTCTCATTACCATACCTTTGGTGACAGTACCATAAAATTGAACACTTGAAAATTTGTTTCATTCCTATTCAGCTAGAGGACCCTGATGATCAAGTGAAGATAGGATATGTGAACCAGATTTGGGGTGATCGCAAAGGAGGACAGCATCAATGTTATGCTGAATTAACTGTCTGTGACTTGACCACCCAACTAATACCTTTTTATGGGATGCGAGGCTTGGTTGAAGGAAGCAGGAAAGTATGGGTCAAGGGTAAAGTGGGTCTTTCAATCTATATTTGAAAAACACCAAAAGAAAAAGCTAATACTTTACCTCTTGAACAGGCAATCTTGTGCGTGTTAAATGTGCAACATGCATGTGCTGAAGCAGGATGTGTGGTTACATGCTCAAAGCCCAGAATCATTGAGCGAACAGTGACCTCAAGTGGTCTGCCAATGACTTCTCATAAAGCAGATAATATGTATATCCTTAATTCTGCTTCTTTGTATTCGCCAGAGGTACATCGTGAATTGGCAGGAATTAATATTACTGAGGTATCTCCAGAAGAATGGAAGGCAGGCATTGAAAAAGGTTTGAATTTTTGGAGGAGTGAAGGTAAGAAAGGGGCAAACAATCCAATTTTGGCCGAGTAAAAAATTATGAGTTTTATTCTCTTTAGTGTTTTGTTAGAACAAAAGATTGAAATTTTTATCAATATATTAGCAGCTGAAGTTTCAATGAATTCTTGATGCACAAGTCTTGCAAAGGGACGTAAATTATTTTGAAACATATCACTTGAGAATGACAAAGTCAAACATTTGAGAAGGATTTTGATCACGTGGTCTGTGAACCACTCAGATTCATCACCGGTGACAGCCTTGATTTCTGTGACGTCATATATAATCAAGAATTCTGACTCCCGTTTATGAAATCTCTTCTTTACCATCACTCTTCTTCACCATTGCCTCCAATTCAACCATGCCTCCAGCTCGTTTGTTTTCCATTTTCAGATTTGAATATCTCCTCAAGACCTTTGGACTGACTTTTTGCTCTTCTCCTCTGACCTGACTCGTTGATATCTACATTTATTGATATCATCTCAATGCTTCAAGCCTCTGCTTTTCAAGCACGCAAAACTGGTTTTAGTCCATATCCAAATCCAAACCCAAATCCAGGCAACAATGAGATTGGTTCTTACACAGGAGGCAAGTATTTTGTTCTACTTTCCTCTTCTTCCTGCTTAACTTTTGGTCTTCATTTTTTTTACCTTCCAGCTGGATCGTTTGGTCATTCAGGTGATGGGGATGGTAAATCTGATGACCATGTTTCAGACTTAAACGATCAAAATTCTGCTAGTGGACTATTCAAAGACCCTAACAATTCCACCGACACATCTCTTTCCGGTGCACCTGAAACTATGTCACCTTTTGAGAGTATAATGGATACTCTACCGGTCAATGTTCGCAATATGGTGACCAGGATTGTTGAGGTAAGTAAGATACTTACATCATCTTGTCTTTGTATCCACTGATTGATTGAATCTTTCAACTTGGTTCTTATCACGTAGGGTACTGACGATTCAGAATGCTTTGCTGTGAATGTTGCAATGATGGCTCGGCTAGAACATCTGTTTATGATTCATACGGAAGTACAAGCAGAAAACTCCAATGCCAGCTGGGCTCCTGTAGATTGTTTCAAGGTATCACTATTGTTACTCTCCGCTATCTCAATTGATTACTTCCACATCTAATCACAATAAACATTTCCCAATACTTGTGTAGAATTACAGTCGTAATTTGTGTGCTCAATTTTTCATTGACCCCACCTTAGAGGCATTTACTACTCTCCTTACGGATGGCCCCAATGGTCAAAATAATTGCCTTGAGCGCCGAGTATTGGTATGTATCTTTGAAATTATCTGTGCTCTGTGTTGATTTCACCCTTTACACCATACCTCTTTCAGTCTGATCTTCTCAGCAAAAACGCCGAGGGTATACGAGATGTTCTTCCTAAAAACTATGCTGGCGAGGATGGCTCAAAGGGGGGTGCTGCCGTATCAGTTGCTCTGAAAGAGATTGAACGAAATGGACGGAGTACATTTAGAAAACAAGTACGTTATTCCTTATTCCTTATAGATTGTCTCCTTTATCTTTCTTTTCAAAAGATTTACATCAGTTGGATTCCCAATAAGCTCCTCCACAACGTGTTGCCTATCAAAGCAGTGGCACCGAGTGTTCCTCCTTTCAACCTCAAGGATTTCTGTGGCTATGTAATTCAGATTTTCTCTACACGCTCAGCACTCCATGATGAATTTGTCACTCACCACTAAGATTGTGAATCTTTTGTAGTTGATACACAAAACCTACCCTAGCAAGAAACACATCAGTGCTGATGCCCTTTTCAACAACTTAAAGCCTGGACATGTCATTCGAATTGCCTTTCTGGTAAGGATTCTCTCTCTTAAATTATCTTATTTCTTCCTTACTCTATCACCGTCTCAAAAACGATTGCATTATCTAGCGCTTGGCTTCTGTTTGCATCTACGCACATCCCGGTCAGGATCGCAAAATTTGCCAATGGCAAATAATTGATCAGAAGCTTGATGATATCAAAGAGCAACATTCAGCTGAATTTGCAGAAGCGTAAGTAACTCCTTGTCTTGTGCTTGTTGAAATGCTAGTCAACGTTCTTAGTTTTGTCTTTTACTTCATTTCAGTTTTGGCCGACTGGTTTTGATAAAAGATCATAAGATCTTTGATGGTGTGCGCTTGTATACCGAAATACAAAAATCTTACTCGGACGACCTTGTTTTACCAAACGATGCGGAGGTGCGTGTGGAAGTCGCTACCCCATCTGAAGTCCCTCAATTCCATCAGAGTTTAGCATGATCGTGACCATGCATCTGTACAAATACTTTGTCTCCCTCTATTTGTATCCATAGCTTTATCAGACATAGTTTTACCTTTTGGGTGGGAGCGAATGAGAAATTACAATTTTTAATTCATTTTCTGAGCTTTTGGTCAAGACCAATCCACTCCCCGCTCCTGTATCGATCCAAATTGGATCGGTCAGCAGTTTTTTTTGGATCCCATGTTGAGCTGAGCGATGTCGCAATCATGTGGAGCCAATGTCAGTGCTAGGTGGCAGCTTTCTATGTCACCCTCACCTGGTGGAATCGAGCAGTGTATTCGGATGGACTTCACGCCAATGCGAGCCTGCGACCACCTCACCGTCACCAGAGTGGATGGTGAATTTCTTGAAGCCACGGCAGTGTATTCGGATGGACTCCACGCCAATGCGAGCCTGCGACCACCTCACCGTCACCAGAGTGGATGGTGAATGTCATGAAGCGACTGGCCACATCGCCAGTCGTATCCAGTTGATGTAGTGAAGCACTGTGGTGTTCACATCGCTACCACATGGGCGGTACTGTGAAACCTAAGCTTAACTAAGCCCCTCTCGCGCGGCTGCGTCCGCGCCCCTCGAAGAGGGGCTTACAACGGACTCGTACTTTTTGGCAGGAGAGCTCCAAGAATTAAGGTGCCTTAAGTAGTTTTTTGGACTTCTCCTCGAGCCCTCACCGTAGAATTTCTCAAGTTTCTCGTATGTTGTTCTTCACACTTTTGTACATGATCTGGTACCTCATAGTTTGTCTCACCTTGAGGGGAAGTGTTATAAATATGCGATGAAGATTTGGTAATATGTGTGCTTAAGTGCTTTCAAATTTTGTATCCAAGGCATATGAAGAAGGCTTAGGCCATTACAAGAGGACGTAAGGCCTTGTAAGGCCCATTCTTGACACAGCTCTCAAAGCATGCAGAGCTATCTGTTTCTCATGAAACTTGTGCCAGCAAATGTACAAAGGCATGAAGAAAAACATACCAGCAGCTCACAAATTTCTACGGTGAGGATTTGAGGAGAAGTCCAAAAAACAACATAAAGGGACTTAATTCTTGGAGCTCTCCTGCCGAAAAGTACGAGTCCGTTGTAAGCCCCTCTTCGAGGGGCGCGGACGCAGCCGCGCAAGAGGGGCTTAGTTAAGCTTATGTGAAACCCATGTGGTTCATGGTTTGCGGTCGCCACGTCACAGGCCTCTCGTGAATGACACGTGAACCACTATAGAGCCCAATGGCGACGTGGAATCCACGCTGCGACTGCCCCGTGGTGTATATGGGGTATTGCCAAGAAAACTGTATTGTGAAAGGGGGCCAGACAGGCCAGACCTCTACAACTCACAACATTGTTGAACCAGGCATGAATTTAAATGCAACTTTGATCAATCTCCACAGAAGTTGCACCCAAGGTTTCAAAATTTGGCAAGGAAAACTCTTACAAAGCTTGTTGCAAAATTCTTGGCCACAAATCCTTGTACTGATTTAAGAATTTCTGTTGAGTTGACCTCTATTCAAACTGGATCATATCTGTCTATCTGGTCAGTAGTATGCCCAGGTTTCAGAAGAACTTGAAGCATGAAAATAAATGTCAAAAGAAAAAAGACTCACCTGTGACCTAGTATATATGACCACATGTCAAGCTCCAACTGTTTTCCAAGATCAGTATGATGGCACAAGTGTACCTACTATTATGTCTAATGCAGTATAACTGAGGAGGAATGAGCCTCAGCCAGATCCTTAAGGAATACATCAGCTCTGACTGTTATGATAACATGGGCTTGTTTCTGCTTGTAAAAGGGTGTACTAGTGGCACCGGGCATGGTCAAGAGACAAAAATTGTGCCGGGATCGGAGCACCTTCTTGTCAGAGGCTGGGCTCATAAAATGATCATCAGTATGTGCTTCGCCATTCACACATTCTACAGATACATTCATTCAATCCATAATTCTATCTGGAGTATAGTTTGGCCAGATCGATATGGGTATCAAATCTCCTGATTTCCTTTCCGTGTGCAATAATATCTACAACTTCCTGCAAAAAGAAAACCATGGCAGAATTCAATGGGTCAAATAAATCTGATTGGATTTTGTGCTTCAACTTCTGGTTCACAAGGTCTCACAAGGTAGCCACGGGGCCAACCCGCCTCTGGACCCCGCTACGTACAAACTGAACTGACAATCGGCGCGCCTTCTTCGTCCTCTCTGCATGGCGCCGGTCAAACCTCGAAGTATGCACCACTCAACCTTGCATTCGCTTTGAGATCGAAGGGTCTTGCAAACCACTCACTGCGACTGTGGTCCTTAAAGCTGAAGCAACGAGCAAGCCCAAACGATCGTATCACGCACGAACTCAGTCTACCTGCATACCAAGTCTGGTCCTTGACACACGCTGACATGATGGGTCAAGACTCAGATTCGACCCTTTCCACGTTTGCTGAAGAGAAAGAATTTTTTGAAGCCCTCAATCGATTTGTATCGCAGACGAGCGTTGATACAAACACAAATGATCTCGATCCACGATCTGAACCACTCGGCACGTTATCAAAAATTGTAAATTGGTCAAGTGAACTAGAAACCTCACTTGCTTGACATGTTATCTGTTGCTCAACTGTTTGCCCGATTTCATTGACATTGCTTCAAATGTTTTGCTTGACGCGTTCAAACGCACTGGTCTGGCGGTCACAGATCGATCTCTATCAAGAACAGCCTTACCTTTTGGATCCATATCTTGAGAGAATTATATTACCAGTGGTGTCAAACTTCCGAAGATGTCTTGAATATCTTCAATCGAATGCAAACTTGACCGATTCGCCAGTGATTCAAGCCAAATCTGCACCGGACATGAATGAGCATCTCAAGAGCATCTCGCGCTTCTTGTACCTCCTCACCAAAGTGAGAGGTTACAAAACTGTCGGTCAGCGACGTTTCGGATGTTTCATCCCAGAATACTTCGAATTCGTTCAAGCTGATGCTGCAACTTTCGCCTGCTGCGCTTTGTGCCAATAGTGCGATTTTTCCCTCATGAAATTGATGATCTTTCGTTGGTCCTCGCAACCTTCAGTTTGCCCGTCGAGAGATCTCTGCATCCTGCGACTTTAGTCGAGACTTTATCATGGGAATTTAGGTATATAATGCTGCTGTGGTTATCTCTTATATGCATGATACCTTTCGACTTGATGCATTTCGATCAAAAACCATGCAATCAACAACAAGGTCTTAACACGAGCGACAATATCCAGAAGACGGGGTTGCAATTTCTCAGCTCACCTGGTAAGGAACGGGAAGCTGCTGCGCTAGTTTTGGCTCGATTGATGCTGAGGTAAGCTTAGATTTGCATTATACTTTTACTCCTTCCTGGATCGTCTCACTAAATCAAACGCGCTGATGCTGGCTTTGCAGGCGAGATATGACCTCTGACTCCCTTAAACCGTTCTTGGACTACGTTGTGGATCGGCTTGAGTGTCAACCGCCCTGTGATGTTTTCGAAGTCCGTCAAGAAATGTTTAAATGGACCACCTGATGTCACAACTAAAGAGAATTTAGTTTTCGCCGCTGCTTCTATTCATTTAGGTGACTGGGATCATACAGGCTCTATGTAGCATAGCCAAGCTAGCCCTTCCGTCGCAACTTCAAGCTGCGATACCTCAGTTGTATCGCGCATTGGCCATAGTCGATTCCATATCGTCTGCGTCGAGGACTATCACCGTCCGAAAGCTACGCACCAAGCTAGCTGGCCGCATTGCGATACTTTGTTTGTCGGCACCCCAACACTTATCAGGAAATGACAATCACGAGTCCATGGAAGAGGTCGAAGAGATCATCCAGCAACTCCTGAATGCACTTGAGGACAAGGTTCGCCATTTGATCATCGATTGTCTCTTGTGGATCGAATGTTGATGACCATGGAAATTATTCGGGGCACCAAGGATACTATAGTGCGATGGTCAGGAGCCAAATACCTGGCTCGACTTGCTAAACGATTGCCCTCTGAATCTGCATGCCAAGTCAGCGATGCCGTACTCGACTTGTTTGGGCCTTATCAACCGGGGACGGACTCCAATTCATCAAGCGTATCTGAACATACATGGCACGGTGCTTGCTTAGCAAGTGCAGAATTTTTGCGCTGGAAGATATTCCCACTTTCCCGTCTTCAGCGGCTGCTGGATTGGACGATTCGAGTTGAGTGATCCATCGGATAATTACACAGTAAGATCTATGAAAGCTGATGGAGCGTGTTGAATTGATACAGGCACTGCATTTTGAGCGGCGGAAGGGTGTTCAAAATATAGGTTCAGGCGTACGTGATGCAGCATCGTACGTCCTGTGGTCAATAGGACGCGCGTTCACTGCGAATGATGTTGTTCCTTGGGGCGAGCGGCTTGCAATCGAGTTGGTTTTACAATCGCTCTTTGATCGCGAGGTTCACATCCGCCGTGCGGGAAGCGCAGCTTTTCAAGAGAACGTCGGTAGGCTGGTAAGAGTTTTCATCGTACAGAAAGGCTCCTTGAATATATGGAGCACGTACTTACCGCTAAATCCGGGCTTCGATTAGGGTGTATTTCCTCATGGGATCCAGGTTCTTCAACTTGCGGACTTTTTCACCGTAGGATTGCGCAGATCTGCGTTTTTAATAGCAGCACCTGAAGTCGCCAAGTGCGTAGATATCCCTTTTCTGATAACTTCAACCTGCCTTTGACAATGTTATTATTCAAAGATATGAGGTTTATCGGCAGTCGATATTGAATCACTTGATCACAGTCTGTATCTGTCACTGGGATAACGAAATACGTGAACTGGCTTCCCAGTCAGTTGGAAAGATTGCTAGCTACTCAATTAACCAGATTTCTGAAACGATCCTCGAGATAATGGTATGATTTACAGCTTTGCCTTTTCCCGAAAGACTGTGCTAGTGTGGCTGACGTCCCCTGCTGCAGGCTGTAGATATCGACTCCAAGGATATAAACAAAGTCCATGGCACGTTGCTCACATTGGCTGAAATCGGCAAACTGCATCATCAGGAGCCTTCATCCTGGAAATTTCGGCAGAAGGTCTTAAATATCCGTTCACCCTTGACATGGAAAGAACTTGTAGGCTGACAAAATAGCTCTCACTGACCAGATATTCATGACGATCACGAGCGTCCAAGACGCATACCTAAAATCTTATAGCTCGAACCCGCTACTGATTGGAATCTGTGAAGGACTTTTGTACAGTTTCTCAGCGGATCAGCCGGATGCCGCAGAATTCCCAGCATCACTCTTTTGGAAGAACGTATTGACTATCGCGCTCAAGCGCCCTGATGACACCTTGCATCTTGCTATTCAACGCGTTTTGCATAAATTTTCAAGCGTTGGAGTGGGTCTCGGTCACATCAAGTACGATTTCTTCTTGATGCTTTGCTTGTTTGGGTGATTGCAAATACAGGATGGACCGGTTTTAATAGTCTGTTTCCTTTCACGAATTACTACTCAGGCTTCTTTCAACTGAACTTCAAAAGGGGCGCCCGGTTTCCAAACAGGCTGCAGCTCGTCTGCTGGGTGGTTTTGTGTTCAAGGTGGAACATGCCCGGCCCTTGTTTGGACAGGCGCTCGGTATGTTATTGAATTGCGCTGATAGGGAGGTCAGTCAGCTCCCGTGCAGTTCTTCGATTCATCGCAGAGGAATGACAACTTTTCACTCTTTTGTGCAACAATTCTCGCTGCTTATCTTTTGACACTTTCAAGAAACCGATAACTGGAACGAGAATCGAATTGAGACGAAATGCAATAGAATCTCTCGTTTCTTTGCTGACTAATCTGGACGAGGTCTTCGAGGATCGTGAGTGATAAGCGTTGTTCAATACCTTGACCTTACTTGGAGAGTTATTATCACTAAAATATGTCCAAAGTCGTGTCTCCTGAGCAGTTTTCAGCCGTCATAAACATCTTTTTGAGCGGAGTTCGAGACTATACCACTGACGAACGTGGTGACGTGGGATCCTGGGTACGCTCTTCGAGTCTGAAATGTCTTGAGACATTGATAGACTTCTGTACTCGGGTTCCACGTCGGATACCCCGATATGTAACAAGGAAGGTGATCAACGAGGTGTTGGTCGGGATCCTGAAGCAGACAGTTGAAAGTATCGATAGTCTGCGCGAACGAGCATGGTATACCACATCGAGACTGCTGTGCGAACCCTTGGCAACTGAAATTGATGGGTTCGACTCTCTTGCCAAAATATTCAACCGGTTGAGTCATTTCCACATGTATGAGGATTGTGGAAATGGACATTAACCGAAGTCATACCTCTTAAAACATCAATGCGCAGAGATAATGCAGAGCACTGGAGAGAGCTATCTTGGACGTTTCCTCAAACGTTGGAATTACTCAAGTTGAGCGCTGATGATGAAAGTGGTAGTATGCGTGACTACATTGATAACATCGTGGAAGGTATCGCATCTCTTATTGGTGGCCAGGGAAATCGTGACGTGAGTCAATATGTTTGGGACCCAGCCAAAATTGTAACAAGGCTTACAAGGAAACATTGGCGCATTACATAGGCACGCGAAGCGGCGCAAATCTTTTGTTCTTATCTGAACGCTAGTCAGAATGTCAAACTCATCAGGGAGATCGTGCGAAGGTGCCTCTTGATTGCACGCACACGGGTCAAAGAGCCCAAGTCCATCATCTTTGCACTTGAAACCCTTGCCATGCTTCTTGAGCTACCCGAGACGCTAGGCATATTGGAACGCGAAGCATGTGATCAAAAACTGTTGAGTACCCCTTACAAACCGAGATATTTACGACTAGTAGGAAGGTACTGACCCAACGTGATGACTAAAGCCTCAGAGATATACTTTTAATAGCGACGCATGGATTGGGACGTCCAAACTTTCCCATGCCTCGGGTAATAGTGGGTATGAAAATGTAGGTCACATTGTACAACACATCTGACTCGCCAAGCCCCCATCTCATCTTTGTGATCACTGTTTGACTTCGCGCATGTACCAGTGTGATTCGACTTACCAGCTTCGAAACCACAAGGACCAATGCGGGCCAATATCTGCAAAAATATCTCACCCATCGACTTCCTCGGGTAAAATGGACTATCAAAATGAGATCCGCGCTCGCAGACACTTATTGATTTGTTGTTTGCTTTGTGTGTCAGATTCGTAGCATGACTGCCGAGATGATGTATAATCAATTACAATTTCATGCTGAGGAGATGCCTGAGGTCGAGGAACTTTTGACTGGAACGGACTGGTGAGTTGGTATCTTGAAGGTTCAAAAGTTCAAGTATAGATAACAATATTATTTCCTTATTTGCGCTTTCGTAGGTCAGCAGACGTGAATGAATATCAAGAGCAAGCAAACAAGATATCTAACGTTCTGTCAGGGTCTCCTGCTAGGGACAAGGACTTGGCGCATCACGCTTAATCAAGATTCTTTCAGATTAAGAAATAGCACATCACTCTCAATTGATACATTGCAAAGTGTCTAGTATCTTCTGTGGTTGTCTAATTCTGTGCTGTTAGGGTTATTGGCCGTGTTAGGTATTTGATGTTCACGGTCATGGGATTTTCTTCTCTTCATCCTCTTTTTCCTCAAGTGTGAATCCAGTGTTGACTGTAGACGTTTTTACAGTTACTGAAGAAGACTTACTTCCTTCAACCAACCTCTGGAAGAGGCTGCCTTAAATTGGCAAATGCAGAATTATATGGGAATTGTTTGCTTCAAGTATAGTGCTTATCCCTGAAAACAAGGAAATCAAATCAGATCTCCAAAACCTATCCCCTCTGCCTAAACTCGCCTTTTTTGAATTCCAAAACTGGTTTTGGAATTGTGAGATTGAGGACTCTGTGTCCATAGCTTTTTGGAACAATTGATAGTTTTTTCAAATCCCAATCTTTGGAGCACAACCCTGTTCTACATTTCCTTATTTTCAGTGATAAGCCCTAAAACAATGGAGGGACCAACATTCAATTAAAAAGTTAGATTGGCCTGCAAATAGTCCAGACCTTAACCCAATTGAGAACATTTGGAACATCATGAAAAAAAATGTCTTGGAACAGCACCAACCTAGAACTGTTCAAGAAATGCGTGAAGCACTGTATACCAAGTGGAAAGCAATCCCTCAGAGCAAGTTTCAAGCTTTAGTTAAGTCCATGCCTGATTGATTCAAGGCTGTGCTCAAAGCAGAGGGCGGACACACTCACTGGTAAAAGTTGTTGTATTTTAGAGTCTACATTACATTTTTGAATCCTGGAATTCATTCATATGTACTCTGATCAGTGGCCATCTAGACCATGTACTTTCAGGTAAAGTAGTAGTGAGATTGAGAGCTAGATAAGCTTGCTGAGAGTTGCCAAATTGGTGAGTTATGGTACAGGTACGTAAACTTTTTGTCACCGACTGTACAAGAGTTTGGATGTGAAACTAGAGGAATAGCTTTTTCTCAGGGAGCACATGGAGGCTGAATGAACTCAGAAGCTGTGCGATTTGAAGATAGATGAACCACACAAGCCTTGACTTTCATCATATCTTTCTTCTAAATTTTATCCAATAATAACTTGGAGCTGATCAGAACTTGGCACTTCACAACCATAATGTTCTATCTCAAAAAAGATTGAAATTTTGCTTAAGAAACACCAGAAAAACAAATTGAATCCAGTCAGATATGTTGTTTATATGAGTCCCTTCAAAGAGGATCTCCATTCTCAAGACTCTTTGGGAGCAACTTTTTGACTGTACAGGTCATCTCTGACTGTCAGAATCTACCCAAAATGGTAGAAGTTAGTAGATACTCCAAAAGAGTGATTCATAATAAAAGGAGGCATATAATGATACATGGTATCTTCTGCTTTACAATCAGTACTTAAGTGTTGGGGACACTAACCTAATGCCAGTCTTTGCTCATTAGAACTGGTTTATACTTTTCCTGATCAAGGACCAACCTTGAGTTGTAGAAGAACATTGGACTAATTGATTTGTAATAATTGGTTGGGCAGAAGGACCAATTATGGGATACAAAGTAGAAACTGGGATTTTTCTCCCAGTTTCCCAGTTTTTGGTTTTGGCTGTATTTGAGAAACTGGGAAACTGGGATAAACTCCCAGTTTTTACTTTGTATCCCACAAATGTAGGTTTTTTTTCTTGGACTTTTCAGGTTGAAAGGGGGTTGGGGGTGGAATTGAATTGAATTGAATGAAGATCCAAGAGTGTTGTTGAAGGTGATGGAAAATCCCCACAGGATATGTAGAAGGAATCAGATGTTGGGTAGTACCTTGGTGAAGTTGACTTTATCTGAAGAGATGATGCATAGGCTCAGAGGGATGCATGGAGGGATGAAGGATCAACTTGAAAACCATGGTGATGGTAATTGTTGGGGCAGCTTGGAGGTGTGCTTGGAACAGAGTCCAGAAAGGCAGAACATATTTTTTGGAAAATGTTCTGGATTTTTTTTTGGAAAAGTGTCAGAATCAACTTTGTGTAGTATAACTGATACACTGATTTTCATCCATGGGGATTGTGACAGAAGAATCAATCCAACCAGTTTGAGATTCAATAGTACAGGGGCTCATTTTAGATCTACTTTTCACAACCACCTCCTTTCTGAACCATGAAGTCTTCAATTAAAAATATAGAAGTATACCTGTGTCCTCCCTGAAAGGGTTGGGATAACATGACAAGAATATATAACATAATAAGGATCCAGAAAGGTGTAAGGAGATGTACCAACAAAACACTTCTTTTTTGACAAGTGAAAGCAAATCTGACCATCCTTGGTGGGAGTTTTTCTTCTGTTTTCTTGTTTCCTAAGCGGATTTTACCAAGCCTTCTCTCAATTTAGCCATTGGATAAATACTATATTGCAAGTAGAATATTTGACACTGAGTCATGTAAGTCTTGGTGTTCTAGATTGTGCAATTCAATCAAGATCTTGATCCCAGGTAGCTAGAGTCAATGTAGCTGAGCTACATATCATGTTTGTGATGGGTTGCCACAGTCTGGGTGGTATGCAGGTAAAAGTCATTCTAGAACCTCGCAGCCTAGGGTGGTGCATCCCAGGCAGCTCAGAAGTAATATAGCTTTGTTAACAATGCCTCTTGGGTTGTGGCAACACCCCCGTCGCTACGCTATAATCACCATTTTGCCAAGCGTAGTGATTTGGCGCTATGAAAAAATCACTTTTGCTACGCTTTTTTTTTGGAAGCGCTATGGGCCTTTAGAGTGGTGCGGCTTAAAAAACCGCTCCGCACCGCTATGGTTGTTTTTCACGCAAGGAAGCGCTTAAGTGCGTGATCGGGTGGGGTAATTGAGCAATGACCGGCGATTTGATTACGCATGTATTATAATTGGCTTTGGAGTGGGGATTTGAGAAGAAAAAACAAAGTAAAAGATGAAAAACAATTTTTTTTGGTTTGAGATTTTGCAAGAAACAACAAAGTAAAGAGAAGGAAACAATTTTTTGTGTTTTGTTTGTTTTAGGATATCACACACATTCAGCTTGCAGACTATCTTTTGATTCATTGGAATTGTAGGAGATCACACACATGGTTTTGAGATATTTTGTTAAGGATAGAGATAGGAAGACAAAGTAAAATTGATTGGGATGAAATCACTTTTTAGCCTTGGTACTAGAAGCCTCATAAGCTTGGAGATAAGCTGCTGCTTCAGCAAATATACCAGATAAAGGAATTTTTGACTTCAGCCACTCGCGTACACCAACGAGCCTTGAGATAGCCCTTGCAGTTAAAGAAGCTCGAGCAGGGACTGCAATGTCAGCAGCCAAAGAAAAGGTCCTCTCGCAAGGACAAGAGGTACCAGATAACCCTAAATAATCTCGGGCAAGAGATGCAAGGACCGGGAAGTCCTTCTCGTGCTCCTATAAGTAGTATCAACAGTAATCAGAGACAAGGTTTAGAAGAGATTACAAGAGAAAGAATGAAAGAATGAACAAACCTTCCACCACTCAAGCTCAGACTGATTAGCAAGCATAAGATGAGCCCCCTCAATATAGTCAGGATGCTCTTCCTGACGTTGATCAGCAGGTGACTGAGTGGTGACCTTTGTTGTAAAAACATCGAATTGAGTGCAGTCCGGAGAGGGTGAAGTTGAAACGGAAGGAGTTGGGGTCACTTCGTCGGAACTGAAGTCAATAGGCTCTTCAGGCCAATCTTCAAGAGCTTTTTCGAAGACTTTTCGAAATAACTTTTTGGCTCGAACAGCCTCTTCAGGGTAATTCAGGTCAAAAAAGCGAATCCGTAAGTGAGGATTGAGGATCGTAGAAATGACAATTGCATCACACGAAACCGCTTCAGATTGATAACCTTCAAACTTGCTGCGCATCAACTCCACCATGGCCTTCAGTTCTAAGTCTTCGCAGGAATCAACAAGGTGATCAAGATCGAGAATTACCCGTGAGTATTCAGCAAGCAATATACATCCGGTGGCCAAGTTGCCTTCCATTTGTTTTGTGGCATACAAAAAAACCTGCATAAAGGTGTTAGTGAGAAGTAAAAGAAGTCAAGAGTTTACAAGTATACAGAGACATACCTGCAGTATTTTCACCAGTGACTCGATTGAGTCCCATTCGTCAGCACCTATCTGTAAACCTTGATAATATCGAGTTTTTCTATCACTGAGTAGAATAGCATCAATGACCTATTGATTATGAGGGTGTAAGAGAAGGAGAAACAAGGAATTGATGAGTAAGATAAGGAGAAAACCCGCTGTAAAGACATTCCACTCACATCACGCGCATCACTCAACCTTTTGAGGTAGTCAGCGTCAATGTTCCATCACACTCCCCACCCAGAGATGGGTGAGCAACACTTGTATTCCATCTGCTTAGCTTTTGCTATAAATTCTTGACGTCTTGCTGAGCTTCTAGTACACAGGCTATTGAACTTTTTAGCCTATAAAGATTCATGGATCAGGTGACTGAAAAAAGAGGTAGAAGGTGGGGCAAAGGTGAACTACTTACTTTACGAACGGCCTGAGCTACTTGACTATCATTGTCAGCTGCACCATTTTCAGAATCCGAATCGGAAAAGGTATCATCAATTGTGTCTTGATCGGGATCAGTATCATCATTATCCTCGTCTTCAGATGAGTCAAAGTGTAGTTCTTCATCGCCTTCATTCAAAGTCATGATTGGAGTTGGTAAGGTAATTCCGGGCGAAGTAGTCGGCTTGACGTGACCAGCGCGTAGACCAAGAGATTTCAGGCCTGCTTTGACAACAAGGCCAATCGTGTGAGTGTAACATTTAATTTGATTAGCACTTGCATCCCAATCCACCGAATCTTGAGCTTCCAGAAACATGCTGGATAACTCGTTAGCCATAGTTGCATTTGCGCTCGCTGAATCAGTTGTCTGAGCTAAAACGTAATAGAGCAAATAGCAATGGTTAGCTGAGAAGAAGAAAGAGACGAGACAATGAGATAAGGGAAAATGAATAAGCAAAAACAACCTATCTTTTTGTGAAGACCATTTGTGATCAAGAACCGGCCGACTGGTTGTGCAAGGAGCCGGCCAGCATGGTGCCAGGTGACTAACTTAAGAGTAAGGTGAAGGGTCTGGAACTTCCAGTCGTTGTCAATATACGTAGCAGAAATACCAATGAAGGCTTTACGACGGCCCTTAGTGGTCCACACATCGCAGATTAGGCAAAACTTACCCTGATTAGACTATAGAA